GGGTTTGTTTGGCTGCCAGACGAATTGCCCTACATGATCAAGGCGGATCGTCTTGGTGATCTCAAGCACTTTTGCCCTGAGTCGGCAAAGGTTCACATGGAAGTTCGTGAGAATGTTCCGATCATTCATGAATGGGTAGGTGCAGCGCCAGCAGATTTGGAAGCCAGTCCAGGACCTGTCGCCTTTGATTCAGACACGGAACCGATTGGAGGTCCGAGTTCAGGATCGAGAGATCGACCGGCAGGAGCTCCTGTTCCGGAGCCAGAACCTCGTGTCGAAGCACCAGTAGATTTGCCAAAGGTTAGTGATAAAGTGTTGAAAGAGAAACCAGAAACTCTTCCTCATTTTGGTGATGAACTCATGTTGTGTGATGAACCAAAAGCGGAGCCCTTGGATGCCCCTTTAGATGAAGAAGATGAAGAGGCCAACCCTTGGACCCCATCACTCCGTGAACGCCTTGAAGAGGAAGCCAAAAGTGAAACTCATCAACTTTGTCACTTCCCCAAAAACCGCTACTGTTCGATTTGTCAGAGAGCAAAGATGACAGGTCGGGTTCATCGGTCAAGGGGGGCACCGGGTGAGGATGAAATTCCTCCGCTCCACTATGGCCACATGATGAGAGCAGATCACATTATTTTGGGGGCAGATTTAACCAAAGGTGCTGGTGGGGAACAAGCATGCCTTGTTTGCTTCGATGAATTCTCAGGTTGCATTGGAGCTTACTCCATGACCTCAAGAGACACTGACTCGAACATCCTGTGCCTTCAGAAGTTTGCTGGAACCAGAGCTTCCCCTAGATCTTCTTGCCTTGTGAAAACCGACTGTGCTCAAGAATTGACCAAAGCCGTTGAACATTTGGGCTGGTTGAGTGAACCAGGGATTGAGAATGACCCGTATCACAATGCAAAGTTGGAAAGCTTGATCCGAAGGATCAAAGAAGGCACACGTGCGATCCATCTCAAGTCAGGTTTGCCGCACGCCTTTTGGCCAAGAAGCATAGAGTATTTTGTTGTAGCGCATGCAATCACACATCCATGTCCTGTGCATCCGAATGAGACTCCTGAGTCCAAAGCGTTGAAGGAAGGGAAAACCTGTTATGAAGTTGCTTCAGGTAATGTTTTTGATGGGTACCGGATTCCTTTTGGTGCATTAGTTTGGTACAAACCACCCAAGCATAGAGAACTTCCTGCCTTTGACCCAAGGACTTTTCCTGGGATCTTTTGTGGATGGCGAATCGACAACGGGTATAAGTTCAGAGGTGTGCATTTGGTTTTGGATTATGAAGCTGTTCGCACCAACAAGAAAGGTTGTGAGAAACCAATCCAAGTGTATACTAGTGAGCTTGTGAAACCAGAAGTGTTCATCTTTCCTTTGGAAGAGGCTGCAAATTCACAGCTGGCATTGTTTAAAGCAGATCGGGAGTTGCTGAGCATTGATCCCAGAGAGTCGTTGCCCTTTGGAGAGGATCCTCCCGAGCCAGCCAAACGCAAACGTAGGCCTTATGTAACATTGGAGAGATGCATTAGGTTCGGAAAGACTGTAGGTTGCAAAGGCTGCGACAGAATCGCAGAAGGCGTGAGGCACAGCGATGAATGCCACGCAAGGATTGGCAAACTCTTGGAAGACGAGAGACTAGCCAAAGAGTCAGATTCGAAGAAAGACAAAGAAATCAGAAGAAGCTGTGGACATTTCGATGCACACCTTGAAGGACAAGTGTAGCCGCCAAAAATTCAGAGAAAATCCCATTGTCCTGCCTGAAGGCCACGAGAGCAAGCTACAGGCTTCTCACGTGGATTGCTGTAATGCTGAGACACTGAATGACTATTGGGACTTTGATGAGGCCAAAGCTGCATGGAAGAGAATCCATGTCCGTCCGAGGAAGCGTTTGTTCACACCGCTTGGAAATGACTGTCCTTTTGATTCGTTCGAAGTGACAACAGAACGTCAAACTGTTTGGACTTGCAGAAACAAGACTTCGTTGTTTGCAGATGATTGGCAATCCATGTCACCGAATAGGCGCATTTGTTCAAAAAGTTGGGTAGGATGCACATACTTCTTTCCGAAGGAGAAACCCGAGAATGTAAGAGCTAGAATCATAGCCATGACATGCAATGTTGAGAAAGAACCTCTTCGCGGACTTGATGCTGTCATGTCGATCCTTGGTTTGACTCCGGTCCCTGCAGAAGTTAAAGACGTTCAGACATTGAAACCACCCCGTGAAAGGAGGATGAGGTCTGACAAAAGTCATGCAATGTTTGAATTCTGCTGCAGCAAAGACTCGAAATTAGGAGAAATTAATGAATCAAGGGGGGTTCCGCATTTTCGGTTGCATCGAGAACAAACCAACTTGGAAAATGAAGAAGACATCAAAAGCCTTTTGTCGTTGGTAGACATGTTCAAAGGGGCTGACCTTTGGGGAAGCATTCCATGTAGTTCGTGGAGTCCTTGGCAGAAAATGTGTCTGCATCGATATGGTTCATCCTACGCAAAGAAATTGAAAGCCAAGAGAAAGACAAGCAAGAAACTCTTAGCTAACTATGTAAAAGTTGCCGAGAGAATTCTCCAGAACGGAGGACATGTTGCTTTCGAATGGCCCAAACATTGCGAAGGTTGGATGTTGACCGAGCTTTTGCAGTTTGTCAAGAAACATGATTTGTATGAGACATGCTGTGACGGCTGTGCCTTTGATTTGAAAGACAGTAAAGGAGAACCACATCTGAAGACATGGAGAGTCGTAACCTCATCAAGAAAGTTGGCAAAAGACCTTGGTGCATACAGATGCCAACACCCAAAAGACTTCAAACACAGTCCTGGAGGGTTCAAGCACAGGGAAGTCAGCCTTCTACACTGAAAGGATGGCGCAAACAATCTCGAACAGCTTGTACCCTGATGGTGATTCCGTCCCAATCATGCCGACTTGTCCGTTTGTTCAGTCAGAACATGTCCCGCATAAGATTCCTTTCGGTGTTCATCAGTTGATTGATCGTCGAGATTGGGGAAAGTATCCGGGGGCTGATCAAGCTATCAAGAAAGAGTTGGATGGTCTTCTAGCAAATGAAGTTTGGGATGTTAATAAAATCATTTCCAAAGAAGAACTGGTGAAGTCGGGTGGTAAATTCAACCTAGGTCGTCTCATGACAATCCTGTCCATGAAGCACGCTGAAAGTCCAGAATTGCGAAAGTTGAAAGCCAGAATTGTGTTCAGAGGCGATCAGATTGTTGACCAAGACAACAACATCGCCATCCTGCAGGAACTCAAAGTGAATCCCTCGGGAATCACGGCCATAAACTTCAACTTGAGCTATGGTGCACTTCCAGGAAATGAAAGTTCCCAGTCGGACGGTGTGCGTGCATACACTCAAAGTGTCTTGCGAACTGTGGTGGACACTTGGGTGCTACTCCCACCAGAGTTAGTGCCAAAGGAGTTCGCTCACATCAAAATGCCAGTAGCGCCCCTGAAGAAAGCGCTATACGGACACCCGGAATCGGGTTTCCACTGGGATGCAAGATTCCGAGAAGTGATGGGACTCATGGGAGGTAAAGCTGACAGAGACAACCAGTCGAATTGGACCTTTGAAAATGGTCTAGTCCTCACATTGTACGTTGATGACATCTTGCTTTCAGGGCCATCAGGTTTGCACAAAGGGTTCTGGGAAAACCTGCAAAAACACCTTGAAATAGAAGAACCGACCCCAGTGGATCGTTGTCTTGGCAGAAAGCATTTGTTCAAACGTGAAAATGGAGTGACTGAAGTTTATTTCGACATGGTAGATTTCATCAACTCAGCATGCCAAATGTATGAAAACCTGTCAGGGATGCCATTGAAAGGCGCTGCATCTCCGTTCTTGCCAGAAGGTTCCATTCCAGTGAATGAATGGGAGGAGCGCGGTGCTCTAGCAAGTGATGCTAGTAAGGTCTTGATGAAAGTCCTTTGGGCGGGCAGACTTGCCAGGCCGGACACGGTGAAGGCAATAGGGGATCTCACCCGCCGTGTCACGAAGTGGAGTCGTGCCGATGACCGCCGCTTGCACAGATTGATGAACTATCTGTTCGAGACCAAGGCGTTCTGCCTGAAAGGCAAAATCGCAGATCGTCAGGAAGACCTACAACTGGTCTTGTATACCGACGCGGACCACTCAAGCGCGGTAGAGGATGCAAAGAGCACCTCTGGTGGTTTGCTGTGTCTGCAAGGACCGGGGTCTTACTGGCCACTGTCGTGGCACAGTAAGCGACAGGGTGCCACTGCACGATCGACCACAGAGGCCGAGATCATATCACTTGCCCACGGCGTATTTGACGCTTTGCCAGTTGCCGAATTCGTTGAGGAAGTATTTAGGAGAGAAATTGAATTGGTGTGTTTCCAGGATAACAGCGCCGTCATAACCATATGCGGCCAGGGCTATAGCCCCAAGCTCCGACATGTTTCGAAACACCATCGTATCAACCTCTCTTCTCTATACGAGACGTTCGCAAATGGTAGTGCCAAATTGCTTTATATAAAAACGGACCATCAAAAGGCTGATCCCTTCACGAAGCCGTTGCCGGTTTCTAAATGGAGTCACGCCTTGGAGCTTTTAGGCGTCGTGGATCCAAATCTCTCGAGGCACCCATCTTCCACTGAAGCTGTAAATGTGTGAAGGGGGAGGAGAGAGACATGGGGTGAAACCACCACCCCTAATCCACTAGCAAAGCACCCTGGTCGATGCATCTGGCACGCCAGGGGAAGCAGTCCTTGAAGCAGTCCATGAACAGCCAAAGAGCATCTCTGCAGGCAAGCTTTGCATTCGATGTGTCACCAAGCACTGTTGTATCACTTGACATGCAAGTCATAGGAATCTTAATGAATGTAGCCATCACATGATCCAGTCATTGACGTTTCACTTCACCGGACATGTTTGGCTCAAGATTGTGGGAAAAAGGGGCGGCTGCTGTGTTCTTTTTGAAGAAGCATAAAATACTGTACATTAAAATACATGTTCTGCAAATAACCCTCTGTGCAGGCGACGAAGGCCTATAGGCGACTTGCCAAGCAACATCACCCTGACAAGGCCAGGCTGGGAACATGGAAGTGTTTGTATCTGAGGATTCCCAAACAGATGGAGGATTAGGCAAAGTATCAGTGTCATACACTGTTATACACGTTCCTTACAGGTAGCAAGTTGAGGAACTGACAAACAAACTGAGCGCTCAGTGCAAGTTGGCTTCTGTTCTTGAACCTAGGAGTCAATTTGTGGGACTGCATCTTCGTACTTTGCCAGTGCTGAAAGTTATACTGTATATAGGATATTCCCGCCGCTAGAGATCCAGTTCCACTCGCACCGGGAAGAATGGAGGCTCAAAATGTGTAGATGCATGATGTGGATCATGAAGGCACGTAAATAAATGGCTATGGAGATCTGACCAACACTCCGATACCCCACAAGAGCAGTGTTAAAAAATGACTGAAAGACTGGAGTTTCTATTCATTCACCGAGCCAGACGGTTTCATGGCTAGAACCTCTACGTTAAAGGATAAACAATGACAAACATATTTACCAGTTGCTGTCAATTTTCGTGTGATAGAGGACATGTACTTGTTGAAAGGATGCTTTGTGTGGCGTGTGTTTTTCAGAAGCGGAGTGCACGAAAGAAGTGGAGCCATGGCGGCGCTTCGCCTTAAAACACCATGGACTCATCGTTGGGGCTGGAAATCCTTGACTCAGTCAGCTCATTTCCGCTGTTGCTTTGGTTCGCTAGTGCGACCACTGGCAGTGGGCACAAGTGTCGACAAGCTTGCCTCACAAAGATCCTTTTCCCAAGTCGGACTTGGGTCTTGGGTGGATCCTTTGGCCTACCAAGGCTCCTTTACCTCCTGGGTGGATCCTCTTGATCTTGAAGTTTCCCCACAGATTTCTGAAAAAGAGGTTTACCACACGCAAAGAGCCTACGCAAAAGCAATCATGAGAATTTCAAACTCATACCATGCGGGCGGCAACTACCTCAAGCTAGCTCATACGGCAGTAGAGAGGCTCTACACTGATGACAAAGTGAAAGTGCTCTTCAAGGCAAATGAGGCGAAGGATACACAGTTCCGGCCAACAGCAGCCGAAGCCATGGCTTTCATCGCCGGTGCCAAGGGTGATGCTCAAGGAAGTGAAGAGTCAAGTTTTGCCATCATCGGAAGCAGGGGCTGGTCGGATGTAGGATTTGACAATCACCAGATCGAGATTTCTGACAATGTTGCGATTGCTTCGGGAACCTGCTACCTCACCAGCGCTGAGACGAATGGCATCACTGAAGCTGACTTTACTTTCGGATACAGGAAGGATGAGCTCGGCAAGGTAGGCATTTTCTTCCAGAATTCGTCAGTACCTCTAGTAGTCCTTGATTCCTTTGATGCAAAGCCTCTCGTGTCAGAGGAGGCAGTGCAAAAGGCACAAGCAGCTTGGGCCAGCACTATCAAAGACATCTCCAAGATATATCTTGACGGTGGAGACTATGTTGCAGCAGCTGCCAAGGCGGCAGGTGATCTCTATGGCTACGGTCACTCAGAGGTGCTTTTCAAGCCAACCAAAGCAGCTGAGGCCCAGTTTCGACCAAGTGCCTCCGATGCATTGTCTTACTTTGTTGGGCACCAGGCAGTTGAGGGTGGCCATTCCGAGGACTCTGGCTTTGCCATCAATGGTGGCAAGGGCTGGTCAGATGTTGTGTTCGAGAACCACAAGACCAATCGGACTGGTAACATTGCCATTGCCATGGGCAACTACTACTTCACTTGTGCTGAAACTGGGAACCAAACCAAAGTTGAGTACACCTTCGGCTACAAGATGACGAAAGATGGCAAGCTTCGCATTTTCCTCCACCACTCTTCAGTGCCGTATGACCCTGAAACCTCGTTTATGATTTCAGAGGAGGAGGTGCAGGCTGCACAAGCAGCTTGGGCCAGTGCCATCAAGAACATCTCCAAGGTGTACCTTGCTCGAGGAGACTATGTTGCAGCAGCGGCAGAGGCAGCAGGAGAGCTCTACGGCTACGGTCACTCACAGGTGCTTTTCAAGCCAACCAAAGCAGCTGAGGCCCAGTTTCGACCAAGTGCCTCCGATGCATTGTCTTACTTTGTTGGGCACCAGGCAGTTGAGGGTGGCCATTCTGAGGACTCTGGCTTTGCCATCAATGGTGGCAAGGGCTGGTCAGATGTTGTGTTCGAGAACCACCAGACTAAGCTCACTGGCCCAATCGCCATTTCCATGGGCAACTACCACTTCACCTGTGCTGAAACTGGGAACCAAACCAAAGTTGAGTACACCTTTGGGTACAAAAAAAATATGGATGGCAAGCTGCGCATCTTTCTCCACCACTCTTCAGTGCCATATACCTCTAGCAGTGCCACTGTTGTTGCTGATCTCATTTCGCAGGAAGAAGTGCAAAGTGCACAAGCAGCTTGGGCCAGTGCCATCAAACACATCTCCAAGACTTATCTTGATGGTGGAGACTATGTTGCAGCAGCTGAAAAGGCTGCAGGAGAGCTCTACGGCTACGGTCACTCAGAGGTGCTGTTCAAGCCAACCAAAGCGGCTGAGGCCCAGTTTCGACCAAGTGCCTCTGATGCCATGTCGTACTTTGTTGGGCACGATGCAGTTGAGGGTGGCCATTCCGAGGACTCTGGTTTTGCCATCAATGGTGGCAAGGGCTGGTCAGACGTCAAGTTCGAGAACCACCAGACGAAGCTCACTGGCGACCTTGCCATTGCCATGGGCAACTACTACTTCACTTGTGCTGAAACTGGGAACCAAACCAAAGTTGAGTACACCTTTGGCTACAAAAAGACCGAGGATGGCAAGCTTCGCATTTTTCTTCACCACTCCTCAGTGCCATACAGCTCTTGATGTTCAGTCAGCAGCTAGACCATAGTGGCGGCCAAGCTGCAGGAGGGGTGAGTATCACCGTTTTTTTGGATCGCAATTGATGCAGCAGGCTCAATGCTTGCAAATTCACAATTTTTTCAATTTAAAATATAATACAATACACTAAAATATTATATAATATATACCTTATGTAATGCATCAATTATATGATTTTCAATATGCTGTTCAAAAGTCAAAATCTTACGTCATATCATGTCATATCATTTGTAGCGAACTTTTTGACTACGCTTGTTCTTTGCTCCCCCTCCCTTGTACAGCAAACTCTTCCCACCATCATCACTGTTTCATCCTTGTATCAATCTTGCCCATGCACAATAATTGGCCCATGCATAATAATTGCAGTTTATTGCACTTTGTGGTATGATTCCAACGTGAGGTGGAGGGATGGTATAACCAAGGTTGCAGGGCAGTGTTTTTAATAGTTTGTTGACTCAACTCTTGTTGCTTCTTGCATTGCTCTCCACACTGCTGCATGGGTTCTGGTTTGTAGTTCTGCATTTTTTCACTGCGGTCCTTCCTTTTTGGTACTCCTAGTTTGCAGCCTCAAGTTTCACACATTGACCTTACATACCCCCCTTACAAACCTCGATTTGCACTTACACACACACATTGACCACACACATTGACTGACATGCAACCTTGCAACCATCGACATGCCCACCTCTATATACTTACACGGTACACCCACTTCCATACAAACATGGAAGCTGCAGACCAATTGCGCCTACAAGATGTTTTCGCATCGAAACTGAAGCTATGCTTGCAGCTGAAGGGATTCGAAACCTTACTTCCTTCAACTGATAGAATCCCAACCTGATTGTAATGGCCTCCAACCTAGAAGCGATGGCTCCAATCCATTAGCGATGGCCTCCAACCTGGCAGCTTTGTGTGGTTGGCTGCAAATGGTTTTTATGCAAGCCATTGGCAAGGGTTGTAGAGACAGACGCATGAGCGCATCGAAGCCAGGGTGGAGATCCTGAGACCTTCCGCCGGTTGAGAATGGCCTTTGAAGCCCTGACGTGGCTCCACTGGATTAGCTCTCGTTTGGTTTTTGGGCTTGAGATTGTGTAAAGGGAAAGAGAAGTGCCCATTTTAGGATGGTTTCATTCACTTGAGCAAGGGCATTTGCTTTGCATGCAGGGTTTTCTTGTTTGGTGCTTCTTGGTATCACGTCGCGCTTAAACTTGTATATACTCATACTGGCCAAGCACCATGTCAGAGGACGAACATACTACATGTCGATTTAGCCACAAAGGAATGAACATGAATGAACACATGGACACATGGGAAGTTTTTAAAGATTTGATTTGCCATCCGCGTTTTGTTGGCAACTGTCCCAGGCTATCATCTGCACCTGCAGAAAACACACCTCCAAGGCGAGGCCTCGGTTTTCAGATCTTTACTGAGATGGTGGACTTCACTCAAGTCCGTACTGCAAATTGTTGTGCAGCTGCCTGTGGGAAAGAAGGATCATTTGCAGCAACGTCAGGGCAATGAGCATTCTCGATAATCAAGTTTACCTCTTGTTGCGTAGCTGAACATCTTACACCTCAGAAGCAACGACATGAATGTCCATGGTTGGGTCTTAAGGTCCAAACCTGCACCGCAGGGCTCAGGCGGACTTGGAAAAGCGACTCTGAGAAAACGCACAACCGAAAAACAAATACATACAAATACATAAAAGCTGTTTGCAGGAGGTTTAATAATGTTAAACAAAGAAAGACACTGTACGAACAAATGGAACGTTTGTCCTGCAGGAGCTTAACTCAACAGCAGCATGGACCTGGTTGCAGTATTGTTCTTGTTGCTTTGGACAAGATCATCCGTTGACTGTTTTGCATTTTGCCAAGAACCCATGGGCAGCCAGGTTTCAGTTCTGTCTAGAATCAGTGCATGGCTTTGAGTGGAAGATGTGGCCGGCTCCCCCAACACCAGGCCGGAAAAGCTCTTCGCCAATGACACCTGAAGCTCCCAGGCTGGAAATGGACGGATCAGCTATCATTGTAACATCAATGTGAGGTTGAAAGATGTTGAACACGAAAGCAACAGAGAAGTCATCCCGTCATCCCTATTCCAGATACACTGTATTCGCATGTAAATGTATTGACACATTCACACGTATTCACTGCATATTCAGGTCAAGACACGTCAAATGGTGATGAGCCAACTACCTCTGCGTTCTAATTGGATGACTGGGAACATCAAGGAGTGATGTATTTTTTGTTGGCACCAACTGAAAACTGCTCCAGGCGCACACGATTGCGACAGAAGACTCCGCCTGCAGAGTGTTTCAAGGCGAGCCTGTGAACATGACACGTCATATTCCAAAACTGTTCATAGATGGAACTGGGCCGCCCAACAGAATCTTTCTGACGGTCGTGCAGTGTACGGAAGTTAGCCCTTACACCGAAAAGTGGAGGAGTGCCTTCTTGGAGCCCTCAACTTGACAAGCTTGACATTGACACTATTGACAGTCGGTTCCTTTCGTCGAGTGATCCAGAGAATCGACCTGCGTGCTCAGGGCAGCCCCATTGCAGAGGAGGCGAGAATCGAACGCGACGAGCAACGTGAAAAACTATCTCTTTGCGATCGATCTCACTGTCTCACCTGTTTCTCTGCACGTGTGCTGCTCATACCCACGAAGATCGGTTGTCTTGTGTTGAAATTGAACAAAGACCAACCGTGTCATTGTGTTTGGCTTGTGGCTGCAAGTCTCCAGGGGCCTGCGCCCAAGCGTCAATGCAGAAGAGAGCAGTGTGCTACCCAGTTTGCAAGAATTTCGGGCGTGGAATTCTACATTAATCCGGACCTTGGGACAACGCAATGGCAATCACTGGTATAGTATACCCACCATGTCATGGCTTGTGACTGGAATGTTTGTTGCTCAACTCCTTCAAGCTAAAAGGAAGCCAAGTCTTGTGAGTCCGCAGTTTTCTTCGGCTGAGGAGGAAGCAAGCCCCGCTCAAAACTGCAGACAAGGCCACCGCCAGTAGACCATTGCAAGTGCCAGGGGCACACTGACCACAATCTTTTTTTTTCAATTGTGAGCAAGGCAACTAGAAGCTTGGTCTTAGCTGCTTCAGCGGAAGGTTGGTGTTGGTCCAAAGATCAGGCAGTTTGGGTTGTTGAAAACGGATCTTGAAAGTAGGAGGTGAATGAGCTTTACCCGGCAGTGTGTTTCAGACCTTGGTACGATAGATCCACAGATGCCTGCAAGCGAACATGACACTCAGGTGGCTCCTCATCAACTCACAGTGAATGGCATCCTGCAAGTAATTTGGCTCTTTGCAGTTGGTCCAGGCCCTGCATGATTCAGCATCCTGTGGCGCTCAAATATTCGCCCAGCGATGCTACGGAAAGAAGATCCTACAACGAGATTTCATGACAACAGTGTTTGTCAATGGATGAAACAGTCATGGACTTTGCAGTCTTTGGTGTCCACAACCTTGCAAGTCCACTGTCATTTCTGCACAAAACACTATTTGTTTGTTGCAGCTGGGCTAGAGGGGATCAGACGAGACCAGTCTTGAAAGGTTTAGAAGCTATCACTAGCACATCACAGATGGTGTTGCCAATCAGATAAACGAGTGTCATGGACACTCTGGAGCCCTCTGCTCGGAATCCACATGCCTTGGCATGAATCGAACGCCCAGAGTCGGTCCACAGAGTCGGGTCCGGAAGTTGAGATCCAATTGCCTCTACCCCAGTGGCATCCTTGCTCCTAGTAGCGATGCCAGGAGCCCCTAGAAGCTTCTTGTTCCAAGTAGTGAGGCCAGGAGCCCCTGGTAGCGTCAAGGGAGCAACACCCCGAGACCCTCCAAGACCGAACCCGCAGACCGCCACCGGTCTCGACTGTGATCGGCTCAGTGCACCGACCGGGCGTTCTTCGGTCGATGTTCAGTGCAGCTCGACACAGTGCCACCATGACGTTGGGACCAACCTGTTTGGAGCATTTGGGACGAATGTGCAGGACGGACTGACGGGGTGTCACAACGGCCGTAAGGCCAATGTTTCAGTGCAATAAATGGAGGGAATTCAACTCCACATTCTCGTATTGACATCCTGAGATTTGTTGCACCAACGCCACAGCGGGCTTCCTGGCAAAAAAATTGTCACAAGGTAGTTGCAGGGGGCAGCACTCATGGCGTGCATAAACAGGATCTTTGAGGACGGGCAAGGCCCCAGAAAGACAGAAATAGCATTGTCCTGACACTCGCCCTCATCAAGCCATATTCAGACACTTCTTGTCACTCGGAACCTCCGCTTTCAAGCCTATTTCATTCTATGTAGAAAGCTATTCTGCTATGTTCCAAGACTCTTGTATTCATACGTATTGCCTTCAAACACTGGCGCAGTATTCGCAGTCACTTTGTAGTGAATATTCTTTCGTACCCAAAAGCTTTTTTCTTCGTACTCGGAGACTCTTTATTCTGCTGTATTGAGAAGCTTTGAGAAGCCTTTGCTTTCAGGGACTCATGATTTGGACTCCTAACTCTGTGTAGAGGCTATGTCGATTTTGTTCAGACACTCCCCCCAGTCAGACAGTTTTACTGTAGTGAGCATCAATCTTTTTGGCATACATGGATGGGGATGCGGGGAGGGTAAATATCTTGCTGTGCAACAGTTCACCAGGTTTCTGAACAAGAGTTCTTTAAGCATTGGTCGATAAATTTCAGGATCAGCGCCCTTCACGATAATGAGCTTCAAGTTGCTGGCCGACCACCCAAATTAGTAGATTTTTGAAGAGAGACAAAAGCACCATCCCTCATCGGGCATGAGTTGTTGCAAGCAGAATGACACTGTGAAGAGTGCGGAATACGGAAGCAACGGCTTCGCCAGATGTACAGGCAGCCTGAAAGCAAGGAGCGAGAACTCGTCGAACTTAACATTGCAGGAAGCGCTTTTGCACCCACATTTGGGTTTGTTTTGTCTACGAGCAACTCTTGAAGCTTGTTGAGTCTTTAACCTCTGGCTTGAGGAAGCCCTGCACCATTTCTCTCATCACCCCTTGTGCAAAATCATTCTGCAACATTTGTTTTGCTTGAATTTGAGTGAATGTGACTGTTTGCTAGATTGGCTCAAGTTGAAAAGAATCAAACACATTCTAAATAGCACGGCAGCTGAAAAGTAGCACAGGCAACACCAAATAGCTACCCACCAGCAAAGACATCAGATGAAAAAGAAGGTCCTGTAGAATGGTCTAGCCTGCACCAGTGGACTTCCTTTGCAGGCAGACTTCCAGGTTTACACTGACTTTTACCGCAAGATTGCGTCCGAAGTACCAAGACATGGACCTGCTTGGCTGGGAGCCACTTCGAGAAGCAGCAGAAGCGGAGGATGGCGCTGGGACTTACCAGTGTGGATAGGGTTTAACATGGTCTAAATTGGTTTAACTATCCAAATGGGACATACTTCAGACTGCCAGTGAAGATTTAGAGATGTGTTTGCAATGAAAAACAAGTAAAGACAGGCAAAATGAAAAGCTTTGCTTCCAATGTCATGTCATTTGAAGGCTGCATGAGGCATCCTTGGAGCTTGTGGTTTGATGCAAGCCTTTGTAGGTAGGCTTAGCATACCATGGCTCAAACTGCTCAGATGCACAGCATCAGCAAGGCTGACATGCAAAGCGGTTGACAAACCAAGTGTCGAAGGCTCTTTGATCAGGGGATTTGACCATGCTGACATGTGGTTGAAATTGACGGATGCATAGTTGCAGCAGACGAGATGGATCAACACGGCAAGGCTAACTTCCCAGCCATGACTACATTCAACCCTTGCCATGCTTTGAGAGTTTCTGCTTGAAGCCACCAACATTTGCAACTTGGCAATGGCGCTGTCATCAACAGCCCGACCATTTCGGCCAATATGCGCTCTCCTGTGCCGGGCTTACACAGAGCTGCATAGTTTACTAGCGAGCACAATGGTAGGTAGAGCACTAGTTCCTTTGGAGGTAAACCTTCTGTCATAGTTCTGCTTCCTATCTCTCTTTGTCTCTCTACAATATATATATATACACATGTGTATACTATAAAAATCTATTATACAATTATACACACATATTTTGGACAGGCAGCCATAAAACATCTTTACATGTTTGTCTGGGGCCGTTCTCCAGACGTCATGGAAATGTTGCATGCGGCACCTCTTGAAGGACGATGGCCATCATTATGGCCATCGTCACATTGAGGTTCTTAGCCTTGCTTGGTCCACTCTGGGCCTTCACATCAGCAAGGAGCTGCTAGTCATCATTTGTTGGACGGCATAATTAGAATGGTTTCACTTTTCAGCTGGAGCTGTACCCAGTGCGGAAGGAAATCATCCTTATTATTGGATATCACCTGTATGTCACCTGTACCTAATTATTAATTATGAATAGTTTTCCCGAATGCGTAGCGAAGGGTTCTCGTTTAACTCTTTGGGGGTCTGGGGGTAGAGCCTTGTTCGCGACCCGTTGTTTCTATGTTCGCAACCGTCCGCAACCGTCCGCAACCGTCCGCAACCGTTCGCAACCGTTCGCGGTAGAGCGCTAAGGCGCTGCCATTGGGGGAAGCTTTTGCAAGTGACTATTCATGGATGTGTCACTTGTTAGTTTGCGACGCGAGTCCATTGTGATTTGCGTGAAAATGACATGTCGCGCAAGAAGCGTGATGCATTTCGCTGCACAGGCACAGCGTTTTGTGAGATCCGCAGTTTGCTACGCAGTTCCATTGGGATTAGCGTTTGGAGAGTCGTGTTTTTGGGGTGTTGCATGTGGCTGTGCCATTGGGATTTGCGTTTCAGGGTGTGGCATCGAAGCTCTGTTTTCGTGACAAGTCTCAGCTGAAGTGCCGATTTTGGTGGATGGGAGTGTGCTCAGAACGGGTCGAAATCATTCCAAACGTGTGGTGTGGTGCAAATTTTGTTGAAGCTCACATGAGATGACATTGTTACTTTTCGTGGCAGGCGCAGGACTTTGTGCGGGCTTTGAGGTGTGGAAGTGGGATTTTCGTGGCAGGCGCAGGGAATCGTGAGGTTGCGATGTGTGACGGAGGTGACATTTCGTGGCAGGCGCAGTACTTTGTGCGCGTTAGACGTGTGGACGCGGAAAGATTCGTGGCCGGTGCAGGGAATCGGGAGGTTGTGAGTTGTGGTAGAGGTGAATGTCGCTGTCACATTGGGATTGGCGTTTGAGCGGGTGTCGTTTCGAGGGGCTGGAATCGCGAAACTGCTTGGCAGGGCTGCGTGATGTGTGTGCTCCGATGGGTGTTTCGGCTGGACTTTTGGAGGAAGTCTCGTGCGAAACGTTCGTTTTGCAGACTTTGACATGTGAGTTTTTGAGGAAGTCTCGTACGAAACGCTCGTTTTGGGGACTTGACATGTGACTTTTGGAGGAAGTCTTGTACGAAACGCTCGTTTTGGAGACTTCACGTGTGACTTTTGGAGGAAGTCTCGTACGAAACGCTCGTTTTTGAGACGCAGAGTGTCCTACAAGAGTGTCCCACAAGAGCTTCCTACTGGGTGCTCGGGTTAACTTATCTCGAATGGCATGAACTTGCGCCAGATGAGGTGTGCCCTTGGGGGAAAGCTTGATTTGGCTACCTTTTTGTATGTATGTTGTTGATGATCGCAGGTTGAGAATTCGACCAAACCGCAAGGGCACACGATTGATTCTGTCTCAAGTTTTTGTACTCCCAAGTGATTCGTTGCGATTTCATGTTTTTGGCTTCACTACATTGTGGCTAGGGCTTTTTCAACAGTCGTTGCGAAACGGTGTCCCCAAACAGTTTTGTGTCTAGGAGTCGAGTGTAGACGATCATTGCTTGGTCACTTCATACTGTGTGTTTGTTTGTTTTGGTGACTGGTGCTTGGAATGCAACCAGCCTAAGCTGCGCTTCCCAACCAATGTTGGGGCAGAAAGAGGGCAGGCCTCATTTGCCTCATGCATTTGTTTCTACATACTGGGTGCCTGTGTTTACCCCTATGGTGGTCAAGATCTCGCATCGAAGCCGGTGTGCCATTGGGGGGGCCATCAAAGCAGTGCAACCCAGAAGAGATGAGAAACATACTTCTCCATCTTATTGGTGCCAGATCTTTGATGCGTTCACACTGGAATGTCTGTGAAACCAGTATACCATTTGGGTAAGCTATCGAATAGCTATGAATTTGAACTTGTTTCTAGAGGTTTCTTTTGGCAACCCATATAGTTGAAGCCTTTTCGAGAGGCCCCATCTCCATCAAAGCGGATGAGCGAGGAGCAGTCTGATTAAAAGTCGTTGCGAAGCGGTGTCCCCATACAGTTTCGTGTCTAGGGGTGGAGGCGTTTGTTGTTTGGTAATGAATGGTAATCAATACATGTCGGGCTTGCTGCTGTTGGTTTGCAGCTGGTTGGCTGCTACTGGTTCGCTGCTGCTGCCGTTCTGCTGCTGGTTTTCTGCTGCTGCCTTGCTGCTGCTGGTTGGCTACTGCTGCTGCTGGCGGTTGGATGCTGTTGGCTTGCTGCTGGTTGGCGGCTGCAGCTGCTGCTAGCTGCTGCTGCTGGCTAATTGCTGCCGGTACTGCTGCTTGCTGCTTGTCGCTGCCGCTGCTGCTGCTGCGGCCTGGGCTACAAGGCCTACTCAGTTGCTGCTTGTCATTGTCTTGCATATTATAGCAGGTTTCTTCCATTGCAGGCTGGGTATTGGAAACATGGTTTCAAGCTTGGTGGCAGGCCTGTTTGGTGAAACTCGGTGCCCCATGCGGAAACAAGTATCGCAAGGACGTTGCTGTGACTTAGTCGTAAGGACTTTTTTGTTTGGGTGTTGGTGGGCATGGGTCTTCTGGGCAAACGTGTTCATCTCGCCCAATACCTTGCCCACACCTCGCCCTCTATCTCGCCCAGCCCACCAGGCACCAGGACCCCCAGAGGTGTGCCATGGGGATTGCCATTGTCGCAACACATATGTGTAAGCAAAGGCCTCTTCAATTTACATTGGCCCCCCAGGCAAGGAGCGATTTGCAGGTTCATGTTTTCAAGCGTTCATGTTCACATTTTTCGCAGGTGTGCCATGCGGAAGTGTGTCCTGCGCAGTCGTTGAAAGATAGGAACGCGCACGCGCGCGCAGACACCAAAGAAGGCAAAACGCAAGCTAACCATTGGCTTTGTCGTGGTCTGAGCATACTTCTGGCAGAGATCGGAAGCCGGTGTGCCCTGTGACGTGGAATTAGTGAAAACGGTGTGCCATGGGGTGATGTGGTTTCTAGCCTGCTGGTTTGCTGCTGGTTGGGTGCTGCTGCTGCTCCTGCTGCTGCTGCTGCTGCTCCTGCTGCGCTGCGCTGTTTTGCTGCTGCTGGTTGGCTGCTGCCATTTGCTGGCGCTGGTTGGCTACTACTGCTGGTTTGCTACTGCTGGTTAGCTGCTGGCTTGGTGCTGCCTGCCCGCTGTTTGGCTGCTGCTGGTTTGCTGCTGCCAGCTTGCTGCTTCTGTTTGGCCGCTGCTGGTGGGATGCTGCTGGTTACCTTGTGCTGCTGTTGGGTTGTTGGTGTTGTTTTGCTGCTGGTTGGCTGCTTGCTGCTGCCGCTGCCGCTGCCGCTGCCTGCGCTACAAAGCCTACTCATTTGTTGCTGGCTGTTGTTGCACAAGCCCTATCATTGTGGCAGTGTCCGGTTGTAAACTGGGCTTGGAAAGCATGGTTTTGGCTTAGATGGCCTGTTTGGTAAACGCGGTGTCCCATGCGGAAATGAAGTGCTGCAAGGACTCTGCCGTGACTTAGTCGTGGTGTGGTGTCACAGTGTGATTTGCTTGCCGCAACTGCTTTGCAAGGACTTTCGCGTCTGGGCGGTTACCCTCGATAGGAGCTTCAAGGTGGTGCGAACATGTGGGTCAGAATCGGTGTGCCATGGGGGTTGGATCATGGCAGCCCATAGGACACCTTAGAAACCATCAACATGTAGAAGATTGAATCGCAATGGAATGGTGTAGGTTTAGAAACAATCTAGGCTAGGAGAACAAGCGCTTGTTTCGAAGCGGTGTGCCATGGGGATTGGGAGAGGAAGACACGCAAGAATGAATAGATATGTTTGACGTTTACAGAACAATTCCATGCTGTTAGCACTCTATGTAGAAACTTAAAGCTGGTACCAACATGTGGGTCAGAATCGGTGCGCCATGGGGATTGGATCACGGCAGCCCGCAGAAAACCTTAGAAAACATCAACATGTAGAAGATTGAATCGCAGTGGAGCAGTGTAGGTTTAGAAACAATCTAGGAGAAAAAGTGCCTGTTTCGAAGCGGTGTGCCATTGTGTTTTCCAAATGGGGTAAGTTCTTACATTCGTGGGGTAAGCGGTGTGCCATGGGGGTGGGTCAAGTTCATACCACGTCGGGTCGTACAACAGTGTCCCACAAGAGTGTCCCACAAGAGTGTCCCACAAGAGTGTCCTACAGGAGTATCCCACAAGAGTGTCCTACAAGAGTGTCCCACAAGAGTGTCCCACAAGAGTGTCCCGTATGAGTGTCCCACAAGAGTGTCCCACAAGAGTGTCCCGCATGTCCCACAAGAGTGTCCTACAAGAGTGTCTCACAAGAGTGTCCCGTATGAGTGTCCCACAAGAGTGTCCCACAAGGGTGTCCCACAAGAGTGTCCGA